CCATGCACGTAGTTATCAGGCTTGTCCTAAACTTATCTCTCCATGGCAGTTGTGCTCACACGTAAGCAAACAAGTCCCACTTTTGACACGAAAACTTCCTCAACCGACGTTATCAATTTGACGGAGTTTTAAGACGGACGAAGAACCACTCGACCAGATCTCTTTCAACTAGAAAACAATCTGTCTTGAATGCCGGAAAGGAGTTCTTGTCAGCAGGGGTGAATGACTGTCTTGAAACTGATGAGTTGGGTTACATATGGTAGCTAAACGGTCCAGAGCTGTATGGATGCACATGGTCAAATCAGAGTAACCGAGTGGTTGAAAAGAACTGATATGAGATGGTTAGCTGGGGACAGTGGTCTCCTGAAAGTTGCTGTCACATTCCGGAGTTCGAGTTGAAAAGAAGCCAATCTGGGATAGGGGGTTGGTAATTGCAAAAACTCTGCCTCGCCACCTGCTGCATCCGTATACTTCAAGTGAACAAATCAGTGTCTTGTACCTCAAAATCACCGACAATACACATTACACTATGGTGATAGGCTTTGAACTCGCAACCAACTTTTAACAGAGAGTGAGGTGGGGAATCAGTCACTAGGAAACCAATAAACAACGCAATTACCCGCTGACTACATCTGACTGGCAGCCGATGCAACTTCCCTTGCTCCAAACGGTTTACTTCATCGTAAATACCAGCCTCACTTTTCCCCTGTTCGTTGTCGACGTGATGGTCCCTTTCATAGTCTTTCGATAGAGTCCATCAGGTACATGTTCGACCTTCGCTCTTATTCTCTAGACCTGTAGTCTCATCTTTGCAATCTTGACGGTATGCATCGTTTTCTAGACTTGTAGCGCTCTTTTCTCTGTTGGTGCAATATTTGGAGGCTCTGTGACTCGTAGTTTCTCCGCTTCCATCGAGTGAAGTTTTCCAAACAAATTCGATTCTAGAGTTTGTTTTCCACTCTTATAATCCTTCCTCTTTCAAGAAGATTCAGTTGCCTCTTCGACAGCTAGGGTAAAGGCTCAGTGGTCAACTGGGTCTACTGTTTAGGTAGGGTCCCACTCAGCTGCACGGACTAGCTAACTTTTCCCCACAATCCCGTCCCCGTCTTGTGTTGTAAATTCCTTACAGTTCAGCCTTCACATAATCAAAGGAGCCACTTATGAGTGAGAAGAGCATGCATTTCATTTTGCGCCCTGGGAAGTGTTTTGCCAATCAGTGAAGTAGAATTTTTCGTTTTGCAAAATCGCTTCTTTCCTAGGTATTGTTGGGTTCCGGGAGACGTAATTGTTGCGCTTCTTCTTGCTGTGAATTTCCCACTGCTTCCCGCAACGTTGCACACCCAGATCGAAAATCGAAATCGTTCAGCTGTAGCACTCTTTCGGGGCCTAACTGTCATGCCACCCTAAGGTTGCACGAGGGCTGGGATACTGCCAGGTTGCCCAAGCCTAGACAGGGAAAGTCGAGAGGCAGAGGTCGGGTTCGAACCACGGACCTTCCGGTCAGTAAATTCGCGCTCTAACCACTTGATCCATCTCGCCCAGAGTGACTGACAGATTTATCAGTTGCTTCCATTGGCTCTCTCCCTATCGAACTATACTGCTGCTTTTTTAGGAGACTTCTTTCCCGCCCAACTCTGGAAATCTGGTGACAAAAGTTCATCTTGGGATCCTGAACTCTCTCATCTAATAGTCTCATTTTCGACCATTGCAACGGACTGCCTACGATAATCTGACATATCAACGGACAAAGGCGACAACCATCAGATTCGTTGTTCCGATGCGTAGCCTCCAACTTCTGTTCTTTTCGAATTTCTGCGTATTTTATGTTCACTCTGTTACATACCCTTGTCTCGAGTTCGGGCATTGAACAACAGTCCGAGATGCCTGTGGAGTCAATGATCAATATTTGATACTGAGTCTGTGATCGTTTGTGAAAAAAGACCGGTGGTAAAAAAATGAGGAATATGCATATCTTCTGTTTTTGGACGTCCAGGATATTCTTGTGAGGAGCCTAAATTGCCTGAACTTTTAGTTAAAAAATAGTTCTTTCTGGAAAGTTAATCCTCCTACGGCTAGGCCATTGCACCACGATCCACTTTTTCTCCGCACCTTCGTAACTCCCTCACCATCGTTCACCTGTCTTTCTCACCATTCTAGAGAGATGTTATTTTCAGAGTTAGCACTTTTTTTCTCCGACCAACCTGTAGCTGCCTCGGTATCAAACGGTCAGTTTTCGTAGCTCTCCTAATCTTTACGCTTCCCTAGTGGTGAAAAAACACCCACGTAGTATCACTGACTTGATCGACCGTGCCGCGCTATTTTCGGCAGTTTCATTGCTTACTTACCGGTTTTAACAGACTCTCGCTTTACCGGACATCAGTGCTTCCACATTTTCAGCTTCTCTGGGTCCTCCACACAGGTATATTCGGACTATACTGGTGTGTGGCGTCGATTTACACACCAAAAAGTTTATCAGTACTATTGATCTGTTTGTTGGCGCTCTACGTTGCCCATCCTATCTGGGCGGTCTGGTCCGATCTGATCGCAATCGCACGGCTGCTCCGTTGAATGAACCAGTAATGCAACAGATAGTTCCGTTTCTAGCTGGCTAGTCCCTTCGTTATTTATCGAATAAAGCGTTCTGGTGTGCTGAAATACACGGCATGTGTTGCAAGTGAATCTGTATATCTTATGGCCACCAGAACGGGTCATCTTCTCTCCCCAGTTGATTTAAACAAACTTTCAAAAATCAAGTTACGCAAAACGAAAGTTCAGAGAAGCGCACCCGAACAGCATCCAGTGGACGCCCTGGTGGGTCTTTTCGAGTTTTGAGTGCCTTTTGTAATCGCGATAGACCTCGACAACTTGAATGTGCTCTTCCGTTTCGACAGGTCATATTCCATTTGCATTGGAGTGATACTTAAGGAAGTCGGGCACTTCTACTGCAGACACTGTACTGAAGGAGTAATGGTTTCATTCGCTATGTTCTTCCTAAATAACGATAGGAAAACGATNGAATGCCTGGTCGATGACCAGGTGGTCGATCTGTCTGTTGCATTGATGTGTTGGTATAAATGACTAGTTTTCAGGTGGAACTACTGTGTACTCCTAACTCTGGGAGTTATTTTTCGGAATACGGAGTACATCTCGAAGTTGTGTATTCAACATGGCTGCATAGTGATATAGTTGTGGAGTGCTAGTCCCCGTGTCATTTGACCACATATGTTAGTGTCATTTCCCAAACTATCGATGGGTGCTAACTCGACCTAATTAGCTGGCTAGAGCTTTCATGCCCAGCTTCCGAATATTCTGTCGCTCATCTTCCACTGGGAAGTAGGATCTCTGTCTCTCCGGTACGCCCAAGGTAACATGCTCACTTACCTAAGGGCCTTTTCGCAATGGTTTATGAAAGCAGTTGCTTGGATCCTCGCTTCACAGCAGCGCCACTTTATGATACCTTCGAGACTTTAGCCCGTATAAGCTGAATTATCAGTACTACCTAGTGCCGCTGCCGATCGGTGGCAATTGATTACTGTACAAGATAGGACCGTAGGATATCGGCGTCTTCACCCGCTACGTATGCAGCGGATTCCAGCACCTTATGGTTTACCTTTATTGACCTGATTATTTCCCAAGTATTTTAACTGAGTACTCATAAAATCAGCCAACTTATTTTTCGTCTCCTCGACTTTACCCAACTTATTCCTAGCTCGGGAATACCCTCGTTAGCTTTCGACAAATACACTCATTCGCACATCAATTCGGCTTTTACGGGAGACTCAGCTAAGTCTCTCGTTTATGATATTCTTTAACTGAATTTGCTGTACAAAGGCCGCTTCGTGTTTCACTTCGTACAATATTCTATATGTCGCCGTATATTTCCATAAAAGATGCTACTCACAAGGTTGCTGTCGAAGAGTTTTCAGCAACCTTGTGGATAGTTTTCTTCACGAAAATATACGGCGAGAGCCATCATCAGCTGTTTTTCATGCTAACTTTTCCCCAAATACGAGGCACTCTTAGGAGTGGGTGATTTAGCGTCACAAAAACGCGAGTGATTCTGCGTCCTCCCCTTGGATTACGTACTAGCCAACTTCAGCATCTGCCGCTCTGGATGAGAATATTTCACAAACGAATTTCATCCTAATAAGCGGCTCGCTCTTCAAGAAAAACCGTCATATTGGGTCACATCCATCTGTACTCCGTTTTCAGAGCCTGTGCCCGCCTAAATCAGTTCAGTTTTTTCCGTTTTAAAATTTGTTTATTTATTGTTTTTAGTTTGGTTCCGTTTTCTAGCTCACGAGCCGCGCACCAAAGTTCATATGTTCACCTAAGCGAATAAGGGAATGAGACCAACTGGTCGGAGGCGATGGCCCAATCTGTGCACCAACAACTAGCTGCTTTGTCTACCCCCTGTGACAGTACTGGACAGCTATGCTTTGATGCAAGGGCGCCATCATCTGTGTGAAACGGCCACATCTGTCAGGGTCACCAACCCGATCGACGTATAGCTACTCACTGAGCCCTTCCACCCAAATATTCTAAGTTCCGCACTAACTACTAACCCAAAAAAATCTCTTGTGGATAAACCGGCTCAGTTTCTAATCTTATTCAAGTTTCAACAGTACGCTGGACAGTTAGCTCGAATCGCGTTTAAATTTTCTGGTAGATGGATCAGGCTAAACACTCGTACTTTGTGTGTGTACATTCCACACTCCCGCATTTCTATCGCGACGAACGTCTGACTCACACTACGTCGCTCTGAAACCATGCGGCCATATGCTTGTTTTCTTTCCAGACGCGATCAGCTGATTCGAGTTATGTTGAACAGTTGAATCGCAACGATCTTTGTTTATATTGTAAACAGTGTTAGCCAACCCTAGCCAAGCAACTTTCTTTCGTGTGTAAGCACCTGAGCCACACGTCTGTCTTGTACCACTGAGCCTCGCTTGATACAATACTGATTTCGGCATCTGTCTCTTTTGTTTCTGTATTTTTAGGCACGCGAAAACCTCGATATCCCGTGGGAAACGGGTGATCAGTCACCTGCAGCTCAAGCAGCCGAACTGATGGAAGAACATTTTCGCGCCCATCGCGCGGAGCATCGTGAGCGAGTCCGACTTAATACACCGGTGTGGAGTGAGGAAGAATTCCTCCAACTGGTTCCATCCATTCAGGCTATTTGGGCCGATGGATCCATTCGAAAAGCCTTTGATCAGCGTTCGAAAATCATCACAGAAAATTTTGTACGTCCACTCTCTGTTTTGCAATACGTCGTTTTTGCCAACCAAGTGAAACATCTCTTGTGACTGCTAATGTTATCAAGATGGCTATTGGGTTAAAGATCGATGCCTGATCGTTCTGTGACTGAATTCCTCTGCAAGTTCAAGAGTGGTATCTTGACAAGTTTATACAACCGACCGCTCTGTTGCACTTTCTGTCCTAACAAGATAGCAGACTCTTCAAAAACTGGAGGAAGAGTCCACCAAAACGGCGATTAAGCGTCAACCTGGCTAAAATGAGGCCAGTCCTGGTGAAGTCGATGTAAGCCGTTAAGTAACTGTCCAGCCGAGCGAGACTCGATGTCTCCACGGTTTAGAAATATGACCACCATTTTCCTTCTTCAGGATAAGAATTATGCTTGATAGATTGGCCTAAAAGCGGTTACAACGTCAACTTGTGTCTGGTTCAAGGAGATGGTCCCTCTGCAATACGAAGGGCATGTTTCAGAAGAGCTTGGTAAACACTCGGTAGTTTTTATTCGGGCAGCGTTTCGTTTTTGACACAAAGGCTTCATCAGGCCAAGTGAACAGGTCACCAGGTTATATGACAGACGGGGAACCGATCCGTAAGTCCTGCAACTGAAAAAGAAGACTGGTGCTCTTCAGAATACCACACTAGATCAGTGTTGAGTGTCAATTAACGGCTCTTGTCGGTGGGTGAGTTTGTCAAAATTTTGATTTGGTTGATTGGGGGAGTTTCAAATTAATTCTGATCGGGTTTGTTTCGTTAAGCTTCCACTTCAGGGTGCCCCAGTTGGATTCACCTCGGTTGCCAACCGTAGATTTTCCCTGGTGTTTATGGGGTTGTGAGTGTTCCAACAATTTAGTTTGAGGGGGGGGTGAGGTCAAGTGGAATTCTTCCTTCTGATGACCGCACACCAATACGTGTTAGCTCGACTGATATAGAACAGTTCTCTGCACGCTCGCCTTTTCCACGCCTTCTATTATTTTAACACTGGGATGCTTGGCGATTTCTACCGCCTCAGCAATCAGTCCCTGCGACGTAAACCGTAGTCCTCGCCTCAAAACCTCAACATTTTCTAAATCTATTTTGTGTCCCTTGTCCAGTGTGTTTTTCGCAATTGCCGAGTCTTTCAGTACTTCTTGATATTCATCTGCGTTTCTACTGTGCTCTCCGATTTTGGTGTGTGGTTCCCTGGCCGTCTGTCCTATATAGACCTTGGTGCAGTCATTACGCTTGATTTTGTAGACACAGTTCCTGGTTCTGTTTCCCGGGAGGCGATTCTTCAATTGCACCAGTGCATGTGTTCAGATGCACGCTTTTACAGTTGCCTCATCCGACCAACGTAGCTGTCTCCGTAGGGGTAGACCAATTCGTAAGTGTCCGTCGAAGGATTTGTCTTTCCATATCCCTGTTGATGAAGGCCGCGATCAACCGCACAACCAGGATTGTCATGGTCAAAGTTTTCTCATCAGCACATCACTCATCGCATCGCCTTCGAACGGAAGACGGAAGTAAAGCCGCTTGGTTGTTACTTCCTGTAGAATTCTTTTGGAAAGTTTCGATTTGAGATGTTTAGTCATATCAGTCTTGTCGACAAACTTCTGTTTAACATCGAGTCGTCGTTGCCCTCTGGTGTTTTGTCGTCAGCTGAACAGTGGCATTGACTGTTGATAACATCCGTGATCATATTTCGGCATTCTCGGTACTGCTCCGATTGCTTGTATTGTTCAGTTAGCTTCGTCTCTATCTTGTATGTGTGTTTCGGTCCCACAGATATCTTTGAACAGGCATCTCTTCACGTTCCTTGTGAGTCCGGTACGCACAATGATCACCCGGCTCTTCATCGAAAAGTCATCCCCAGCCTTTGCACAATTGGCTGCTGCCTGTGATGCAGTAGGATGTGAGCGGTCGTTGTCTCAGCTGTTAGACCCAAGAGTTGTCTTCACATGCTTCACCGAGAGGTTTTTAGTCCTCGGCTATGCTCACTTGGCTTACTGCGCCCTTTGGATCCGAATTGTTACGTTTCGGGCGCATACAGTTGTGTAGGGTTGCAGGCGGGACCTCTTGTTAAGTGGAGTCCAAAGATTGAGAAGCTACCGGGAAGAAGGCATTCGCTGCGGAGCTATTCATTGGAAAGCACCAACTGAACAGTTACAGACTATTGAACAGGGAAGTAAAACTCTCATATGCATCTTGTTTATGAAAAAAACTGTATCCATCTTCTTCTCGAACAGGTCTTCCTGAGCTTTCCTGGATACTCATTGACTACCACTCGAACGTAAACAAATGCTACAAAGCGATTCCATGAATTCCGTAATAAATCTCACTTTTCAACAGACGCAAAGCGGATTTATGAAAGAAACCACATAGTACTCGCATGCTTCATCAGTAGTATCCATCATTACATCGGCAGCTATTGATGGTACTTCTACCGATGTACACCCCGTTCATTATCGAAGGAAATTTGTTAAAATCCTTGGCCTGTAGAGCAAGTAGATTTTGGTGGGAGATAGTCGTAATCCCACAACACCATGACTACCCGATTGTTCTCACTAGTCTCCTCATGCTTTCCCACGAACTGGGCATCACTTTTGGCCATTTTGACTTCGTTCACTGTTACATCTATGAGCTCATAACTGTTGTATATCCCCGGCCACTTGCTCAGTCATGAACGTGTACGGCGATTATGCCACTGCTGAATGCATCCCCCAGGTTCATCGGTCATGTTCTACTCGGTGTTGTTGAATATTCGCAACTTATGGATTGTGAACCAAACAGTTACCGGTGAAAATACACATCGACTTGAGTTTCGTCTTGTAACGGAAGCCTATCCGTATTGAAAAGCAGAGAAGCACTGTGTTGCTGTTTCATTCATATTTAGAATCATCAACAGTGTGTATCTCACGAAACTCTAGGGCATTCCGCGACCTCTCAGCGAGTAGCCTGAACGCTTAACCGTTCGGTCACAAGTGGTTGCTCAACACTGTGCTTAACTTGCTCGTAGACATCCGAATAGGGATGAAACAGCTGTGCAGTGCTTCCCGGCTTTCCAGCATAGATTGGCTCCACTTGCAGGATCAAACCTCGATTGGAAATTTCCATATCGCCTATCAACGCGGACTTGATTATTGGTACTAGGAAACTAAGTATGGATGCAATGCCGTCTTACGAATATTTCATCGTAAAATTTTCGACAACGAACACCCGTGTACTTCGTCAGACATCCACTTTTCACTACCCAATCGCTTCAGGGAGTTAATCGTGCTTGGTTGGGTTTGATCAGCCACAAGCTATTCGTTCAAGAGAGAGCACCGTCTCAAAGTTGGTAACTGTGGTTCACTACTGAGCATAACAAAAATCAAAGATCACTTAAAGCATTCATTTTCTTCTTGAAGGGGCGAGATGGCCCAAGTGTTTAGAGCGCGAATTTACTGACCGGAAGGTCCGTGGTTCGAATCCGACCTCCGCTACTTGACTTCCCCTGTCTAGGCTTGGGCAACCTGGCAGTATCCCAGCCCTCGTGCTTCCTTCGGGTGGCATGACAGTTAGGCACCAAAAGAGTGCTACAGCTGAACGCTGAAGGAACACACCACTCACACAAAGTTACCGAAAACGCTTTAGTCTTCGATATGCAGAATCGCGTATCAGCTGAAATAGAATGTGACCGTTTTTGCAACACATTTGGTTGAATAGTATAAGCGAGAATTTCAGCTGGGACTCTGTTAAGTCTCCCAGTAACACCAAAATAGTTTCCACATAAATGTATTTCAACAATCTTACCTTCTTTTCGAAGCAACCAATTTTCTGGTTGTAGGAAACTGTTACTTGTTCACATCCATAGATTAGAGTAGACTATAGTCTTGTGTACTACAGGTGTATACTGGCTTGCAAAAGGGCACATGTGCGAAAAGCAATTTGCCACGGTCGTGTGAATGCTATTTCTAAAGCACGGATCACGGTGAACTGAATCACAACTCATTTCTCCGTCCTACCTGTTGAGTGGCTTGTTCGCGCGGGAATTTATGTCCTTATTGATGTACTTTCCTTTCTTTATCCTTTAATCTTGGTTCCTTGGCTCACCTTACTTCACACGAACTCTATTCGCGATAGTCACACGATCCGTTCCGTACTTCTGGGATGTGTACATTGCTCGCTGAACGGATATTTTTCACATTTGCCATTCGGGTGTGTTTCCGTCCACTGGTCAGAAAGTTCTTCTAAACGGTACTTGTTTCTGGAATATCGTCTGGCTACATTGTGCTGTCCAACAAGACCAAGTGATGAACTCAAATTGAGCACATTGCCATCAATTAACGACGAATTGGACCCATCACCGACTGTCGTTTTCTGATGCAGCACTTGTCCTCAGCCTCTCTTCTCTGCGTTCTTTGGGACTGCACAGAGGGCGGACTACTGGTTCAGCAACTGAGTACTACGCAAACCCCGAAGTTACACGAATTTATCAGAACCGTCTGCTGAACTCCTTTCGAACTGTCCAACCACCGCTATAACAGATCAGTTATTGCTTGAATCTCGGAGCGTCGAACACAATTCAGCTCGTCTGATCATCAGACATTTTGATAGTTGGGTTGAGCACTGTGAGCGACGGCTCCGTTGATCAGCCGATGTCGAATTCTCCAACTGCCCTGGACGGTGAACCGGAACCCTTACGGTATCGGAGGTTTGTGACTCCATACCTCCCCTCAAGCTCAACTTGGCTCGTTGTCCGGATGACCCGCCACTCGCATTATTCAGCGATAGAGGTTAGATGCTCAGTCAGCGCTCACTTCATCTATTTGATTTCATTTTAAGAAAGGGGACTGTTCCAGATGAGTGGGGGGAATCTGTGCTGACGCCCTTTTTCACAAAAAGACCGGAACCGAATGCAACAGTTACAGGGGGGATCAGCTTGATTTCGGTTGTAACAATACTTTTGATGTCATTTCATCATCATCATCATCATCATGATTGCCAGCTGTAATAACCGCGTACTCGTCGTACGGTGCCTCCTCCCGGTCGACAATATAGTGCACAGCGGGTGTAAATAAGCAGCCATGCTGATCGATTCAGAAGCTTGCGAAAAAACTTCCCGTAATAAGCTCCTAAGAACCCTGTGTGAATAAAAACATCAGTGACAAACATGACTCGCCATCTCAACCGCCTAGTTTTTTGAACCTGACCAGGAGTGACAACTCAGCAGCGAAGCATCGCCGTCAACACTGATGTTGTTGTCTTTGATGATGATGACTCAGCTGCCCGAATGTAGATCTGCTGTCAGATCGAGGGCGAGGTGAGGTGGCTCAGTGGTGAGAGCGCGAATTTCGTGACCGGAAGGTCCGTGGTTCTAACCCAAACTGCCTCTCGACTTTCCCTGTCTAGGCTTGGGCAGCCTGGCAGTATCCCAACCCTGGTACTTCCTTCTGGTGGCATGGCAGCTAGGCACCGAAAGGATGTTACAGCTGAACGATTTTCTTGATGTCGGATCTCCAGCCCTGAATGGTGAATGTGGAATTCCCGCATTTCTGTGTATGCGTTCCAACCGGCGAATGTCAAAGAGTTATTGGTCCTATAGAACTCCCGTATGCCCTGTCTCAGAATAGTTACTTTTCCTCCTCCACTGTTCGCCTGATTTACTCGCTGTCAGAGAAGAAAAGTTATCCCAGTCGAATAAGACGGATCGCCAACAGCGTTCATCAACACAGGGTTGCTCGTGATGAATACGGCAATCAAAGGGGTATCAGATTAACCCCCATTACATTGAGGCTCTTACCATCACTTCACTTCCTTCCTTCGTGCAAAACCCCACCCCGGGGTTTCAGGATTTGTTGTAGGATTCTGGCGCAGGATTAGCTTGTTCGGAACACCGATTGAGCAACGTGTAGATGACCGATGGCACTACTACACGCTGATGTGAAAAGTACGGTCGATTTCGTCGCTCAAACTATTCTTCATAACTACAACATTCCATGTTTTCACAAACGTGTGTACGACATGTGTATAAATATTTATTGTTTTGTGCACGTTTTTCTCGAATGCACGTGTGCGCGCATCAACATCGACTAGTAGCAGCTTGTGGTAACTTGCGGTTATATTTAGGGGTGGCGCCTCCAACCCCTTTTGAAATAACAGCAAAAACCGACAATCGGAGATACACCTGACAGCCACTCTGGACGGATTTCACCTCTGCTCCATTGTACGTCCCGTTACCGTATAACATCTAACAATAGTCCAGCACCTGCATAAAGTGTCCACCGCATAAGGTTGGTCGCCGATGTTTCAAAACTATGGAGCATTTCTGGTAAACTTGAACCGTCCCATGCTAACGTTGGTCGTTGACTTACAATACACTTCATGTGTATCATTCAACACGTTCTGCATTAAGCACAAACCAAATCGGCTGATGGCATCGGAGAAGAAAACTTACACGTGGCGGACTTTTGCAATTGAACGTAGTGCCAATCAGATCCGTGTTTGCAGGACTATTCACTGTTTGTGAAGCGAGGTGCACAGTTCAAACAGATCATTGTTGATACAGCAAAACGCAGATACACCGAACTCATCGCGGCGAGGTATGTACATGAGCCATCCGGGAAAGATACCTACAGAAATCTCAAAAGTGATAAAAGTAACCTTAGGCAGGCTGGACTCGACCTACTGCATTTCATTATGCAATCGCTCTCGTGGATTCATATCTCAATGTTCATCCCAAGCCACCGGAACATTGGTCTAGCCTGTGATATGAGGCAACTATTATAAACTGAAACAATTTGACCACTATATCCCGAAGACCCTCCAACACCCAGCAGACTTCCGCCCTAACTGACTGAGCTGACATCTTCCTCCTTTCACTTCAGTTGAAGGTTTCGAGTTTTCTTACATTGGCGCCGAGGCCTTGTTGACGGATCACAGGTCTTCATTAACAGGTAGCTAGTTCTAGAGTGTCCTTACACGCGGTTCCCTTATTGTCCAAGAATATCGAACTTTCAGTCAACAAAATAAGGCATCTTTCCGCTATCCGCATCTCGCTTCTCGTTTTCGTTTTTTCATTCATGCTACACCGTAATTATTTCTTGACCGTGTGGTCTGTCATGTTCTGAGCTTAATCTAGTGACCTTACTAGGAATCCTTTGCGTGACTTCGCCGGGTGCGGTCATTTAAACTCACTTGAACGGCCTCAGTCAGTCAGTCAGTTCTTCAGCTATAGACAACGTAATGTTCCCAGCTCCGATAGTTTCGTTCACCGAGGATAGGGGGAATAAGAGAATGAGTGCGTCGTGTTGGAGACGATGGCCCAGCTTGTCCATTGACGTCAAATGGTTCTGTTTGTCCGATGACAGAGACTGAGAGCCACGCAATGGAGGGGATAGACTTGATCGGATACGGAACTACCATTAGCTGAGTGATATAGCCATATTTGTTAGGGTCACCAGCCGTGGGCTTTTCGTGTCCCGAGGTCCCCATCCAGCGAGACGGAAGTTGCCAACGCGACTGAGTTGACTGGTAAGGGCTTTCACGCTTGATTACCGTACCATATACTGACCGTCTCTAAATTTTCTCCATCCGATACTGGGGTAAGTTGTCCTCTGGCATACGAAGCAAGTGGCACCCTTTCCATTTCTTCCCAGAAGAAGGCGCCGGTCGTCTTTTTAGGTGCCATTGTCCTAGGGAACTGGTATAATGAAATATTCTAGTTTTCCGAGTAGTTTTTTCGAAGAATAGTCCGTGTGAACCTTACTCGTTAGTCTTAATGGTGGATCCAGTCGGACAGATTTAGTGTCACTTTCGAACTCTGCCACTCTGTTTAGCAGGACGTACCATTCGTACTCGTGACTGCGGTAGCATTCTTTTAGGGTTCTCTGTTGATTTTTATACCTGCTTTGTCAAATTTACTTCTCTGCTTTTTGATCCTCAGAGCGAAAACACCCGATACTATCTCAATCGGTTACACTATATCGGGATTAAGGTAAGTTCGACAAGCCGCAATCTTCCAGAATTTCTTCCCATTTCACTTTCTAAAGAGTCTGCGTTTCAAATGTTGCTTCTACATGCATAACCCGAGAAGGGCGATCTCTTGCATACATATGTCCAACTGTTCTTTGCAAATTCCCACCTTTATCGCTAACCATGCGACTTGATAGGTCAATAAAGTACAGTCCTCCTGATCGGCCACAGTACTCTGATAGCACCGCTACATTCTACAACCACTATGGGATAACTAAACTGTGCTCACCATTTCTATCTGAAATACAAGATAAGTCTGTGTACAATACACGAATGACCGTACAATGCTGAAGTCAACAGTCTGACTGTAGCCTCCGCTCCTTACGTGGTCTGATCAGGTACACACCATCATCCCCAGATCAAATCCAAGGACATCGGTTACTGGTGTGCTCTTGTGTGCGAAAACCTGGAGTTTTTGGCTCCTTTCTAGCTAAATTGGGATGACACCACATAGACAAATTGGAAGCGCCGATGTGATGTGGTATCGTCCCGTAGTTCTATGGGAGGAGGGTGAACAAACATGCGATCGATTTGAACTGCAAGCGGATTCATCTGACTCTCCATGCCGAAGGCGAATACCGCTTTTCGCCGAGTTGAATTTTATTCACTCTGAGGAACATGATGATCCATGCGGTTGGGATACTGCCAGGTTGCCCAAGCCTAGACAGGGGAAGTCGAGAGGCGGAGGTCGGATTCGAACCACGGACCTTCCGGCTGGTAAATTCGCGCTCTAACCACTTTGTCCATCTCGCCTCCATATACCAAACGCTTTGGCATAGCTGGCCTGGATGGTTGTAAACACCTGCGTTCTCGTAAAGCAGCACGACTGATTCGTGTTTGCTGTAGATCTTTGTCGGTGTCTACTGTGCCAGTGAGTATCGAATTCTTTAGGCTATTGAATGTGACAACGGTGGTCTCCTGGAGTACTGATATGGTGTTGCCAAAGCGTTCAAGATCACGGAGGAACGGATGCGGTAGTACAAATGACAACCAGCTTATGGTGAGTGGTGACGTGCCGTTCGCAGTTGGCACCTGCTGGTCCCTAGGGAAATTATCACAGTCTCAACGGACGTCAACACTCAGGTAAATCTATATGGATGAGGAGTATATTGTGTACCGGACACCTCGCTACTACTTCTGGATGCGACACGCTTAGCACCCATCAAACATGATACCGCTTGTCCTGAATTTCAGTCTATACTAAATAAACTGAAGGCGTTCGTTGGTATGCACTACGCATATGGAATCCACGGTGAACATCACTTTGAAACTTCTGCGGGCACAAAATAACAAGATTTTGAGAGCTCAACAGACAGTTGGATCCTGGTGACAAACGAACTAGACAAGAGGGGAAAATTACGCGTGCCACACGCGAACACTTCATAGCTGGAGTCTGATGGGTGGTTGTTTGGTGAAGGACATAACATCAACGAAGATTAATTTTCACGAAGTCTGCCCTACCGTGGTGGAATAACTATGTACCAGAAAAAGGTGCCCCTAGGGTGTTGAGTATGTAGTTGAGAGCATTTTGCCGTAATTTATCCAGCCTGTTGCTTCCGACTCTGAAAAGGTTCAATCGAGTTCGCACTCTGCATCTGTCGGAACTTCAAGTTTGCGACGCACAAACGGTCCCATGCAATCATGTTCCTTAAAAAAACGGACTGCATAGTGAGGGATTTGCAACCGGTGATCAGAGTGGCTCCGGGGACCTTCAGCAGCATGTCAGGCGACCCTCAGTAGGTAAACACATCGCGTCGATGTCATAGAGGTTCGGTAAAGTGTGATCTTGTCGTGGAATAAGGGGCATGCATATCGTTTTTGTAGTTTTTTTCCCACTCGAAAACATCTTAACCTATTTTCGCGGCAATTTGGTTGGTTCACACAATGTGATACAATCACGTCACTGCATGCTCAAACACTAATCGGTCTTGAACAGAACTCGTAACGCTTTACAAAATGATATATACGGAGGCTTGCGGCCAAATTCACCCGCTTAGTCCTTTGGGTAACGGTAGATTTGTTGGTCGTTGGTTTGTACGTGGAAGAGTAACTAGTTCGGAGTGCCTTGTATTTTCTGAGCTATGTTGTGTGGTTTCGATGCTACTTTTCGCCTTCGTTTGGTGTGCGTTGTCGCAGGGAAATGGTAAATCCTGTCATGCTAAACCAACGGTTGTGTTCACTTTGGCCCTATCCTTCATCTCTTGGGCTCTCGCAGTCACCGTAATGATATGCTCAGGGCGAATCGTAAATGATTAGACGTCTTCCTTCCTCCCATTCTCTCGATGTCCATCAATCGAACAACTGTCAGTTTTTCTGGCCGCTGTGGTAAATGGGCTTCGGTCGAATGAAAAAATGACCGAATGCACCACGATTCATTTGTGTACGGTTACCCCCACCCCTTCATGACTGTCACACGTCATCCAGTATTTTGGCATGTTTATTCAAGGCCGAGCCTCTTGATATCCTGTACTGATGTTTCTTCATCACTACCATCGATGCCAGTCTTTCAGTCTACTCAAGAGTAATTGAGTAACCTGTCGCAACAAACAAATACGCTTGCCATCCGACTCACGCCATCGACACGTCGTCGCTCGCATCATGACAGACTGGCTAGAGAAATGCACCCCTACGAGCCTCTGATCATAGATCTTACTTGGATTCGGTACTAAACCAAATTGGTGAAAATCTCCGACTTATTTCGAAAGCCGCTCTTTCGGAGCTACAACCTACCTACTTCAGTCCAACAACCGAAGAAAGGGCAAACAATGCTGAATGCTCTTTAAGGCGCGGTAAGCGCTAACACAGTCAAGACTCGCACATCAGGCACAAAGTGTCCGTCATACTGGGTCGGGTGGAGATTAAATGGCAAAAATGTGCACTCAACGCCATGTGCCACGCATAAAAGTGTCGTAAGTACGCAGAGAGCCCACAATGGCAAGCAAACACAAGTCACTGACTGTGACCTTAGGAAGTCCCAGTCCAACAACAGCCTTGGCGGATTGAGGAAAACCGATCCCTCGAGAAGAGATAATCATCGGTCGGTGGACCGAAAAGTCGACATCACAACTAATTGCACGTAGGGCTGAGAGTATGGCGTTCCAAGTGCTGCTGCTCAGTATGCATCAGTTAGATTAAATGCACCGTCATAACATTTTACTGTGGGATCTTCTTCCATTCTACGCTCAGGTATTTTTGCACCTTCCGGAAAGTGTATGATTCGTGAGCCACATTCTTTTTGGTCCACAGTAGGTCTAGTTAGGAAGGTAGGACAACCAATGAAATATGTTCCTGCTGGTTGAACCGCTGAAACCGCAGAAAGTGCCATCAGCAGATTCCCATATGTTGTCAAACTAATCATGGCCCAACCTGAGTCTGTGGCTTTCTATAGAACTCTAAACCTAAAGTACCGCCTTTCTTCGTACTCGAGGTTTTGCAGAACACTCCCCACTGAATACTGTTGAGGCTAGACTCCCACCCATCCGATTTGTGTGGCTGAGCTAAGCTGAATTCAGGTCCTTTAACTCCTAAAAATCCGTGTTACTTACAGAACTTCTTGAATTGGTCAACTCAATTGAACATTTTCCCTCAATGTTAGCACCAACTAAATGAGCGACGGATTTGTGTATACAAATTTCCATCCAAAAGCATCATTGCCATCTCTCATCATATAAGCAAAATAATGCCAGGTCTAAAAGAGAGATGGGCGAGATGGCCCAGGTGGTTAGAGCGCGAATTCACTGACCGGAAGGTCTGTGGTTCGAACCCGACCTCTGCCTCTCGACTTCCCCTGTCTAGGCTTGGGTAACCTGGCAGTATCTCAGCCCTCGTGCTTCCTTCGGGTAGCATGGCACTTAGGCACCTAACGGGTGTTACAGCTGAACGATGTTTTTAGTCCTACTTCATTCTTATCGGATACATGAGTCCCATTTTGCTGTGGTCTGAGCCAGCAATCCACCTGGTGCATCACTGAGTACCCCGTGCGTTCAGTCCTCCCTACCTCACTTGGCACTCGTAATTTATCGGTAGTACATACTGCTGGCTTTCGAACCACCTGCTCGTCTCCCCTATGTTCAGACGGCTAAACTACGCTCATGATGTTCCATATACTGCTTTGCGCAAAACGGTATTAATGACCCTGCTTGAGTTCACATTGACCTCATGCGACAAACTAATCTGAAAACGAGTATCGGCCCACTATAATACCTTTCATCTCAGTATAAAACCAATGTTTTCCTCCAACTAATGATGAACCGCATGAAGTGTGAGAATATGACCGCTTTCGCGTTGCCCAACCTTCTCGTGGTACTCCCGATTTTCTAAAACTGGTCTCTGGAATGATCTTAAACAAGACTATTCATCGTTACATCATGCGGTCGACTGACCAAGATAAGTCGATCAGACTTGAAAAACTGATGATGTTTGGGTATCTTAACCTAACAAACTTGTCAGCATATGTACCGAAACATTTGGCTTTGGATATAACCTCAGGGTACGGGAATTCCCCAACCGGCCGTCTTGCCGACTACTTAAGCTTGGTACACGCGGTCATAGTTAAGTGAATCACACTACGTGAACCAGATACATCCTACGAGTATAATTGATATTTCACAGCTAAGTATGATATGGCTGATACGAACAGAGCACATCCAGCACACGTGCAAGAGCATTTTGTAGTCTGGCGTTTTTCAGAATGTGGGTAATAAAGCCTTCCAGATGAACTGAGTTTCCGGTTTGAATCGATTTTGAGGTGTCTACAACCGCGGCGGCCGCCACAGCGAACGAGTCCGTCAGTCCCTAAGAATGGGCCTACGAAGATGTCGCTTCCAACCAAACGAGTAGGAGCAGAAGAAGGAATATGTAGAAGAGAAAGAGGGGAGACTTCAGGAGACTGCTTCAGAGAATCCGAAAACGCATTTCGCACGTACTGTACCGACCAACAAGCTCCCTTGTGAAGCGTATTTTGCTGTCTGACGCTGTACGACTTTCTTTCGTTTCCGAATTCCGCTCAGCAGCAATCATTTTGTCAGCCTAGAATCACCCACATCCTACCTGAACTCAAGGACGGGACACTACAAGTCATCCTTGCTTCCGTTGTTACCTGGACAGCATAACCCCCACCTACAACTGTGCCTGATGGGAATCAACAACTCGTTTAGCCACATCCAACTCAGAATGAGTCAACCAGCGATGAAGTAGGCGAAGTTCCGTCGTTGAGCCATGGTGATAAGTTACAAAGTTTCCTGTGAGTGTATTCAGTGATTTTGGGGACGCTTTTGTTCAAAAGTTGATTCTGGCAAAACCTAACGGTGCTTTCAATTGAGCACGAGATCACTGATTGGAAAGTCAATGGATCGAAGCCAACCCCGGTATCCCGATCGCCCCGGTCTAGGCTTGGAATACCCGACAGACGGCATTTCAGTCCTCGTGCCTCCGTTGGTTTGGCATCTGGGAATCAAATGAGTGTCATAGCTGATCGATTATTTATTTATTATTTCCTTTAATCATTTGTATGACCGCCTCACAAGATGGTCCAGACCTTCCTGAAGAAGGTGCAGTTTGTCGCCACGTCGAATAATCATGCACAACTTGGTGTTATCTGAATAGATTAGACATGGGAATTGGATGTTTGTGAGTAGATCATTGGTACAAACTAAAAGTACAGTAGGGCCAAGGTCGGATCCTTGCAGAGCGCAAATGTACACAGCCCGTTATGCTGACGTGTAGTCTTCAACTCTGATAAAATCGTGTCACCCAACGAGAAAAGCTGAGATTCAACCCCATACATGTTCAGCTTCGTTCGCAACCTTTTTTGAGGAACTTTATCAAAAGCCTTACCTAAGTCGACAAAGGTTATATCTACATCGTCTTCGGAGGTCTTTCCTTTGATCCTTCGTTGTCTGACCACCACTGGGTTGGCTAGGTAGAAGTGTTTCAGGTGAAATCCATGTTGAACGAAGCAGATTGCTTTTCCCCGAATGACGTCGCATCCGACCGCACGGGGTTCCTATCCGTGACGGTGCAAACCACGAAAGTTAAACTAACTGTCCATTAGTTCCCGAAAATGTGCTTGTTTCCCGATGTGAACACTGGACTGACGATTGCAGCCGTCTAATTGAGTCAGAACGTGTCCCTCTTCAACAGGTGCTGTGTGCACCTTCGCAAATGCCTTGCAAGGAAGTTCTCTAGTTCCTTGGACATTAAAAGTTGAGCGCCATCAGGTCCGAATGATTCATGAGGATTCCGTAACGTCAGACAGTTGAACACGCCTTAAGTTATTTCTCCCGAATACCGTTCGACGTACTTCAGCATTGCTGATTCGGGTAATGCTCCGAAGACATCGATGGTCAAACACTGAAAGTCTTTTGACATCCTCAGCGCGCAGCGGCCAGGTTTCTGATCCATATAGTAATATGGAGCGCACCGCGTCATTGTAAACTCGACCCCTGACAGAGAAGCTGGTGTCAAGCCCACACCTCAGGTGACGTAGGTTCACAAAAGCTGCTTTGGCCTTCCCAATCCGGATGGAAACATCATCTTTCGTGAGACCACCGGGACTGATACAGCTGCCCAGGTAAACAAATTTGTCTACTACTTCAATTGGTTCAACTGCAAACATGAGGCTAGGGTTCGAGCCCGCCCACCCAGTCTTGCAGTAGCACTTTACACTTTGCAGGTGTGAAGTGCATGCTTGTGCAACTTCTGCTGATTTCTTAAGACGGAAAAACATATTGTCATTAGCTGCTCATCATCGTTCGTTTTTTAAAACGTCCAATGCGTTTTCGTCTACTTCTTCAGTTCATAAATCGCCACAATTCTTATGTTCCCTTCAGGACTATGTTCCAACCGACGAAGATATTGTATGGTCACGAAAGCCAACGACCTCCATCATCGAGGAAGAGATCGTTGTACACAATGCCTCACTTGTCTTCGTAGACGTGGGCGGTCAGACCAAGGAACGTCGCAAATGGTGTCATTGCTTCTCGGACGTTACCTCCATTCTCTTCCTCGTCGCATGTAGTCATTACGATGAGCACTATCAGGACAAGGTAACCAAGGAGTTCCGCAACAAGCTTCGTGAGGCTATGATTGTGTTTGAAGGTCTCATCAATCACGCCGCCTTCCGGCGCGTATCCATCATCATCTTTTTCAACAAGACCGACATCTTGAAGGAAAAGGTTTCCAGTCGTCTGTCAAATATTCGTGATGAGTTCCCCAATTTCCCCGCTAAATTCGATCCATTCAAGTTACAAGATGTCCAGAATTTCATGGTTGAGGCATTCGCTTCTTTGGTTAGTAGTATGCCGGGTGCCGAAAGCCTGGCTGTTCCAAATATCGGTCGTGGTAGTCTAGGTGGATCATCGTTTTCCGGTACAAAAGATGTGAATGCCAGCGGCGTTCGACGTACTTCTGCACCTGCAACGGCTCACCCAAGCATGTCGATAGCCGCACAAAATGTCGCTCCCATGCCAGTAAGGAAACGTATGCTCTATCGCCATTTCACCACGGCCGTGGATCGTAGAAACATTGAAACGGTGTTTCACGCTATGCAAGACACTGTGCTTCAGAACAATCTACGTCGAATTATGATGGGTTAGAGTGAGGGTTCATCCCGTGGAAACTTTTTACACACAGATACCCTCCTCCTTCTTCCAAAGCCCTGATTGTTTTCTGTACACAACTATCCCGGTATTTTCAACTTCGCCTATCCAAGCATCTGGTTTCTTTACCTCTCATTCTTGTGCCAAAAATTGCTTTGTTTTACCAGAATCCTGCCGCATCCTTTCACCGACATTTGTATGGAATCGCAGGGCCCTTTCCTCCGCCATTCCGTTGTTTTTTTTCGCTGTCCCAAACTTCTTGTCTTTCATATTCGATGTCTACTTCTCCTGTTCAGCTGATCCCTCGGCCAGATCATTCAATCATGCCTCCCTTACTTGCTTTTGTTTTTTTGTTATTTTTCTTACTTCCAATATTGTGAACGAAAAATGTGTCTATTTGTCACATGTTGCTTCCATCCTCCTATGTGTTGTTACTAGATTGTTTCGCTTCAACCACCCTGACGCAAGTAACCGAGCGCAGGTTATAAGCCTTTTTACATCCGCCACAACAATGTGATGTACAAAGAAGTCCCGTTCCGCTTTTTCGCACATCCACTGCACTATCTGCAGCATGTGGTTATACTCCCGTGTCTTATATAAAGATACTCGCACGCGTCAGTGATTTTTCGCTTTCTTTCTCTTCCGTGTTTGTTTTTTTATAGCCTATTCGTGCACTTGCATGCTCTTCTAGTACACTTATACACCAGACAGATTGGTTATGACGCAATCTGTGTTCTTGAATCCATATCAGGGAATGAGTTTCTTTCTTGACCCGTTTTCACACGTATATCACACTGGAATGTAGACTGCAAGCTTGAATCCCGGTAACTATTTTCGTTCCCTTAATTTTCGGCTAAAGTCTTGGTACAAAGTCATGAAGGACGCAGAACTGTTATCTTGACAAGCGTATGTGAGTAGATTGTATGAAGGAACCACAAAAAATGATGGATCTTCATACATCTAACTAAGAAACTATTGGGAAACTACATTTCACCACGGAATGCCAACTGTTGGTTGCTTCTTCACATAGCCTAATCTGATTGGTTGTTTGCGCGCAACCTGCTCTCCTAAATTGTTCCTCACAGCGATGTGTCTATAGCCAGCCCTTGTTAAACGTCCTAGCAACAGTATTAGCACCAAGTTATGTTACTCTTGTCTAATGATGGTAGAATACCACAAGACGATTTACTTGAATGCTTAAGCTCAGCATAGACCACTCCTTCAATGTGGCTCCATCCCACTTGACGAATGGGGTCGTAAAACCGAAATTAGAGCACGCCGGTGATGCACACATGCAAATTCGTTGTCACTGAATGGTTGTGTATACAAGTAGGCTTTGCCAGTATTGTTTCCTACATCCAAGCTGTTGGAACGGGTGTTGACTTGGGTTGGTGGTGCCGATTGTGTGGCGCCACGAAATTGCATCGGGTTGCGGTAGCATTGTCGGTAAACTGGCAAACAGTTAGATTTTGCTTAAACTACCTCCGCACTCAGAGCACATGCTGATTCGCAGACCCAGTTTCGTTATTGTCGAAAACACTGATTCGTCAAAGCAAGTCGTTTAAAACAAAGTGTATTTTATGTGCACTGTTACTCGAATGCGAGTAGGCTCTGCGTACAACAATCCAAAGAACTTTGGTGCCCAGTGTAAGTTCCTCGCAACAACCAGTAGTGAAAGCGGTCGAAAATAATCGCAGTAGAGGGGCGGTGCTGTCAGTATGTCATTTGAGTTCATACCTAACCAAGGAGCATCATAACAGAGAGTAATTTAACTCAGCTGTTGCCACTTAGAGATGCGGTCCATAACAAGGGTCTAGTGAACCAAACGTCAACTGTAGGACGACTTTGTTGCACAGCATGCAACGCGTTAGTTGCTCAGAAAATCAAGTGTCGGCTGCAAGTGATCTTGGTATCAGGGTCATCACCCGCTCGGAATGTTTTCACCCAAGAAATTATCATACCAGACGTATGATTCGATAAAAAAAAACGTTCAGCAAGATCCTGGTATGCTCCTCACAAGACCCACCCTTGAGAAAATGGAATGATGTGTAATTTCCATCGTGCTCTATTACCGCAAATTCTTCATGAATGAAAACACAGAAGGTTGAATCGGGTAGTAAAATGCGAACAAAATCCGGCACGGACGTTCTGTAATTGACCAAATAAAAAACCGGGCGGGCATTGCAGCCCTATGTGTGTTTCGTTCGGTACGCCACGATACGGCGATTCCTGAAAAAAAAATGTTTGTCGGCGCGTAAAAGTAACTATCGAAACTCGTTTGTTCCGCATCGATTCTCATTAGTTTTTTATCTTTCCGACCGCACAGATTCGAACCCATCTAATGCACGGTTAGTCAAAAACTATGTGGTTTCCGTGACCCCTCGAGAATCACACACACACAGCCAGCCGTGATTGTTTACTCTAGAAACTCAGTAGCTGTTGAACTGTTTGTGGTAATACAGCGTATTCCTGTGTAAATTTTCGGTCATATCCTGGCTTGTTTTCACCTAACTAGAGAACCGCTTTCCGCGGTACTCTGGTGCCGTATACTCTGTTTGTCAGTCTACAAGTTGCCGAAGGACTAGAGTTCCATAACTCGATCGCCGTGGATGACCTTCGTCGGGAAGCAAATAATTGGGGGCACACAAAGCAAGGGCAACATTTCAAGAGGTCGTTCTACTGGGTAAGGTGAAGAAGTCACACATCAGGGTTGAAACTGAAGTCAAATGACCACCTTATCGGTTTAAAACAGTTGGTCCCGGTCAAACAATACGTTTGGGATCCCTATCAGGGCGGGGAAAGCAATGGTTGATTCCATCTCCGATTCTTAGAATTCGTTAGGTTGCGATACTGCTCTTAACATCATGTTGATGGACCAGCAATCAACGCAGCCGAATGTTACAACCCAATATATTCGTTCCTACCGAAAACAGTGTGCATACTTCTAGATACACCGTTTCCTACTTACTTCCAATTTCCCTCCTTTTCTGCTTACAGTAAGCTGTTGGTAAAATTCATTCCGAATACGTCCTTCAGTAAGAGTACGGCCGCAATACAAAGTATAGCCAAAATTCCTTTGTGAAACACTCAAATGAACAAGAACGACAGCGCGCTGTATGAACGCGTCCCCCGCCATCAGAAAGGCTGAAATCTTGACTCCTATTCTACACTGAAGCAACTTGCCCGCAATCGCATACATACCGATTCACAATCTGAAAACGAATTGCAGGTCCTTTACTTAGCGGATTTCCGAAACATCATGTGGATTCACTAAACACTGATAGCCGACGGGAAGAAATTTACGTGTTAGTGAACGAGAAGGCGATCAAGAAGAGGCACATCACAGTGGTGTTTTTTAAGGTTCATTGAAAGAGGGATCCCCGAGCTCCAGGCTACGTAAGTGACCGAGTAATTGTGGTCGAAACCGAGGTCCTGTGCAGGATGCTAATACAGCTTCGTATAGGGCTAATGGTGCTGGGTATCCAACAGAACTGTCCGTGTAAAGTTCACTCTGAATAGGGTATAAAACTATCGTTTACGCTCTCTTATCTGCTTCCTTTATCATGATAACGACTTTGGAGTTCAGCCTAGAGTGGAATACCCCTCTCCAAGACGTGATTGATTTCATGTAGCTTGTTCAATTGAATGTGAGGAGCTTTCATTATCGGGATGACAAGTCCCAACCTTCGAAAGGAAGCTGTTGCTGTCGCCCTGTAAACAAAGTTCTATCATTCCTATATTTGTAGTGCACCACTCATAAGGTTTCTGAAAATCCGTCGACAGCCCACGACCGGTTTCGCCCTTCTTGGGGCTCATCAGGTAGGTGCAGTCCCCGGGTTTCCGTCAACCTTATGTTCTACTTGAAACCAAATTACACGAGATTAGCGAATATACACTCATTTGCAAACTAATTTGGTTTTTCGAGAGAATCACCTGGAACCCAGTTGAATCTCTCGTTTTTGATGTTTCCAGGCATTCATTCCTGTTCAGGCTATTCTAACTGGGGTATTTTTCTTGAGCTGCGTCTCAGAGGATATTCCTCTTGGTTTGACCCTCCATATTTTCTCTCCACAGGGGAACAACTGCGTTCAAAAGCCCAGCGATGATAATCTAAGAAGAAAACGTAGTTGTAATCCACCCATTTACATATCGATTTCGTGCTATCTGAGTTCAAGTAGAACACAGGGTTGACGGAAACTTGGGGAAGGCGCCTATCTGGTGAGCAGGGCTTCAGTAACCTTGTGAGAAGTTTCTTCTAAGAAGAAACGAATCAACCGTCACGGCAAAAAGTCAAGTAAGCGGCCGATATGCTTAGATCGAAAACGAACCATATACGTGCATACCGTGAATGGGAGAAAAACAAGAGTGACACGCCCATTAAAGATGCGAAACTGTATGCGGCATTTGTCTAACCTCCTAACCATTCTCTCACTTACGCTGCTTTTAGGAATGAGGCTCGCCCTGGTGTCTGCTCCATGTTGCAACACAGAAACGCCAAACCGTCCCAGATAATGGCCGGAAGCAAGTTATGCTGCCGTCATATATTGATCGTGTGGTCAACCCTGTTGCTAACTTTGATCGCATCCTACTCGGCCAGACCAAAACAGCGTAATTTGAAAGTTTGTCAGAAATCCAGCAGGTAAAGATGGAAGTTTGAATATCTAAAACCTCGAAGGCGAATGTGGAAACAAATTTGGCTGACCTGAGAGGTGATTGTAACAGATCGTTCTGAAATTAGTTGCACTAATGTCAGACCTGAAGTTAGGGGGTTCCGCTTTCAAAATAAGGATAGGTGAAACTTGTTCGTGGTCTTTTTTAAAAAGTTATTTGTTTACCCTTCCCGGCATCTACCAAAGCTGTTACCTGCGGTGCTAGCATCACTCTCAGTAATTCAGAAACCCATATTCTTGGATTCTGTTTTCCTTATTTTGATTCTCTGTCGAATTTGACCTTTTTTGACCGTAAAAAGTCGAAAAAAAGATATCGGACATCAGCAATAAGGCCCAGAACATGCGTAACATGTGACCAGAGCACGGAATGCTCTTCACCATTTCCATCTCCCTACCCTGAATTCATTCCGATGGATCAGACGCGCCTTCGAGGACTGATGGATACATGACTTCCGTATACTCTCGTCAGTGTCGAGACGAATAACCAAAAACACAGGTCTTATGGCAAATTTTAAAGGGGGCAGCACAATGACAGTAACATAGAGCCCAGAGGTTACACTAAAACGGGGATATGAATATGACAGAACCGCATGTTCTCAATGAGACTCAGGAGTTACTACGACCAAGGGAGATCAACTCAACCTATTTGGGGCCAAATCACACAGTTATAAGTAGCTGCAGGGCAGTCCGTACTGACAGACCACTAGAATGAGGGAGTAATTGCCTTGTATAAACAAAATGCACTACTCATAAGGTTGCTGAAAAGTTTTTGACAGCAACCTTTTGAGCGGTGCATTACTTCTATATAAAGTATCGAGATATCTCAAATATTGTACCAAGTGAAAGATGGGACAGCCTGGTGCAGCACATTCATTTGCTCAAGAACAGCATAAACGAGATATTCGGTTGGGTTCCAGGTGAGTCTCCCCCTTCAAAACCAAACTGGCATACAAATGAGTGTATTTCGCTGAGGGTAATTACCTCTTTAGGCCAAAAACCCTCTCTCTCAAACTCTCAGATGGACTTGTGGGCAAAAATCGGATATGTGCCCACCACA